TACCTCTGCTCATCGCTAACCATGTTTCATGAGCCGGTAATCCATATAACTCATTTAACATTCTGAAGCATGACAAATACGGGTTAGCATATCTATAGCATGTATATAAACGCATAGATGCATAGGATCACTACAATCACGAAGCGCACCCCCCCACCCACAGCTTCGATCCACTATTAGTTATGTTGGAACGTCCACGCCCACGACAAATTTGCCCGGAGCTCCAATACCATAAGTGGCTTGTTTAAATCGTCCCATAGGCATCTAAATGCAATGGAGTAGCGCAGTACTTTCAGTAATCAAATTTTGTCCTAGTTATGCGGTTGTAACGTAATCGTGCAGACGAAGCCGTAGATTTTATGTTTAGGTACAGCCTACCAGCGATTTTGCACCAGCAGCTGATTCTAAGACCTTCTCAAATAATTTTAAAGTAAGCACGTTGCTGCAACTATCAAAGATCAACATTGTTAGTATCAAGAGATAAGCTTAATCCGTGGCATACAAAAAGTAAATACTCGGCAAGAACTAACATTATCAAATACTTCTCATGGACTTGACTATCGAAAGTGGGCGACGTCTGCCAAATTTTACAAAATATTTAAGAATGGCAGATCACTAGGAAATGTTTCTGTTAATGGCAAAGTGAGACAGTGAAAATGTTTTCGTTAAGAAATAATAGTTCACTAATTTTGCATTAAAAACAGTAAGAATGATCGGAAATAAAAATGATTCAAGAGACTGAATCATCCTTACTGCACTTAAACTCAAATTTAAATTGTATGATTCAAACATAGCAAAAATCTAAAGAAAGATGTTTTATTTCAGAGGTTGTAGGAACAAAGATGCACAGTTGTGGGATCTCACAGCAAGTAGACACTCCACATGACAACTGCATCTTCGTCCAATCCTTGAAATAAAAGGGATATTTCGTTTTAGCACTGAGCCTATGATACCTTTACCTAAGTATGCAGTCTGATTTGGCAGATATGATCTTCCGTAGAATTTTGACGGAAGTTTCTATCATGAAATATATCTAGCCAAATGTTTATTTTCCAAAACCGGCCTTTGACACTGAAGAACGTTCTGAACAACAGCGCTAGCTTCATGTTTGTGCGAAAGAGAGTCATCGCGGAAGAAAACTCCAAAAATGAGGTTTCTGCAAATAGCCGTCGGACATCTGCATTTTACCACATTCTATCTCTTGGACTAGATGTCGTCACTGCCATGGTTAGACGGACGTCAGAAAAAGTTATCATTCGTATTCACTAAAGATGATATCCTTAGGGTAGTGCTGGTTGGCATTAATTTCGTCTTGCAGATGTTCCTCTCCAAACTTCCTGCAACAGCACAGTCTTTGCTTGGAGCTCCCGCGAGTCTTTAACGAAGATGATGACGTCGTCAGCAAAAAGCCAATGGGTGAATCGTTCCCTGTCGATAGTAATGCCCCCACCCTAGTTCAGACTTTTAAAGAGGGATTAATGTACCGTCGCCAAAAGTACAGGAAAGACTCAGTGTTTTTGGCGTGTTCCTCCATCGATGTTGATTCGACACGGGTTCTCTGAATGTACAATGAATGTTGTAATGCTTCTCTGAACTCGATGAATTAGTAGATGAGGTGGAATTGGCATTTCTTGCTCTTCTCTGTTAACTGCTGGAAACTGGCCTGTTCTTAACCGGTGCTCCGTTCCAGAAACGGCTGAGCATGATTCGCGTATAGATCTTGTAGATTTGTGACATGGCAGTGATGGATCGATAGTTCTGGAGGTATTCAGTATCATCTTTCTTGAATGAAAAAAACGTAAAATACGGTTTATTTATACACAACGTAAAAGATACTATAGTCAGTTCGGTAACTGACCAATACCGACGCTTCGTCCAGTGTCTCACGGGCTTTCTTCAACGTAGGTTGCTGGTAGTGAAGTGTCGTGAAAGTGGCTGGTGGTCCGCAGCAGTTGATAGTTTCGGAGCAAGAAAGAGCTCCCTCTGACGACCATCCATATTCACGAAACATCATCATCGACCTACCTTGTAGAAGGACCGCAAGACACGGGCCAAAATGTCGGTATTGGTCAGTCACAGTATTTTTTGCGTTGTGTAGAATCGTTGGAGAGCTCATAAGCGGTGATGACTGCCTGCTGAAAAGAACGTCTGGTGGCAAGTGGATGTCAAGATGGATGACAAGATCCGTTGAAACTGCCATGGTGTCGAGAGAACTGAAGAACAGGCATG